TGAAGCCCCTGCATGCATCGATTGCCGGGGCACCGGGTGACGTGGACCTAGGTCTCCTAGGAGCTTCGCCCCTGGGGCTAGGCGTACGCCTCCTGATCCCGATTCCTCGCGGAATATCTATCTCTCTGATGCGGACTCGGGGTATTACCAGCCTTCTTTCTTTGGTCACTAGGAGGCCGACTAGGCCTGTGAGAGTCCCCAAATGGCGACCGTCTCCTGACAGGAGGGCCAGATTCCTACGAACTCTCCAACGGTCGATCTCGTTCCGACAACGCGCGCGAAGCCACTCATAGCTACAAACATCAGGGTTGGATATGTTTCTATCCCACTCCCTGATATCATGCGCTAAACAGTTGAGGTGTCTGACCTTCTCGCTGAATAGCGACCGTTTCACCTGTTCGGTCAACGGCTCATCGAGACCCGCAAGAATGTGGTCCCATTTCGCGATGAATCGCTCGAGTCGCTCCTCCTCTGCATAGAAAGTCGAAACGCTACACCGCAGGTTCGAGAGCTCAATTATTCTAAATGATTGCTCTCCGATGTTTGCATGCTCAAGTGGTCGTATAAGAGCCACAAGATCTGCCTACTCTTGATACGGTTGTTGGCGCGTTGAGCAGCCTCAGTGAGACGATTGATCTTGTCCATGATCGCAACAGTTCTGATGCACTTTCGAATGGCTGCATTGAACCTGGCTTCAAGAACGTGATATCTGCATTCTCCATGTAGTTCCTCAAAGGACTTCGCCTTCTCAACTTCGGTTAGCCACTTAATGACGTATAGTCCATCATACGATCCTAATGGTGCAAGGCCGAAGGATCTATCGGGCCTTGACCCGCCAGTCATGCGTGGTCCTGATCCTCCCGAAAGGAATTGTCGCATGTGTAATCGGGATATTCCTGACCCTAGCAAGATTGAGGATTGTAGGGTATGCATGAAAAGGGCGTGCGAAATTTGCATTCCGAAGGCTACTCGCCTATGCCCTGTGTGTGCAATGTCAATTGGTAGCTCACAGGTGCCACAGCACCTATTCGGAACAGGTGGTGGCGGATACAGTAGCCACCAGGATCCGAACTGCACAGCTGCGACTAAATGCATTTCCATTGACCTTCCAGCAGAGCCCGACGCGGCTGGCCTGAGGGTATGGATAGCCAATATGAAGGAAGCTGTTAGCAATGTAGGTGGGCTTGCCCTCAGTACGAACATCACGAGACCAATCAACAGGTGGTCGCAGAGGCGGCGAGTACGACCGCGTACAGTTCGTCTCAGGCGCGCCTCCAGGGGACCTATTCCTGATCCGAGTAGCATCGGGGTCCCTTCTCCTCCTGCTTTCGTCCCTAAGGCACGCAAGACAACAGGGCCCTTTGACAAATCCAAATCTCCTGTAGTCATCCTGCCCAGCTGAATGCCTAGTGCAATAAAAAGTCTTACAAAATTGACAGTTAATTCCCTTGGTCAGGAACGAACTCTCCCTACAGACACCGCATCGGGGTCCGTCGCGGGAGCATTCTTCACACAAGTCCTCTTTGAACGAGAAACAGTACTCGCAAATCGCACCTTTGCATCCTTTACAATGAAATTCAGCAACAAGGTGGATGCGCCCATCACCCATGTATTTACATCTGGGTTCTCCAGCGTTGCCAGGATTTCCACCGGCAGCACTCTTCTTCCCCCCTCCTCCCGGGCTTTGCCGATCAGGAGGAGGCGGTGGTGGAGGATCATTATCAGGAGGACTAGGCAGGAGGTGGCCGCTTATCCGGGGTACGGGAAGTGGCACGCCTACCCCCTGTGTGATCATTCAATCCACTACTCGATGCATGGCTCGAGTACTTTGACTCGAGGGTGTTAATTTTCTGGGCCGTGCTACTTAGCACATTGAGCATTTGCTCAAGCTTGCTGTTGAGCGTAGTCGACACAGCCATGTTGTGAGTATTCTGCTTGTCCGTGTAGGACTTGCAGTCCCTAGATTTGACCTCTAAATTGGTCTGCGTTTCGCAGAGTTGGTCCTTGATCCACTTAATGCCTTCCGTGTTGCTAATCCAACACTGTTCGGCACTTTGCATCATCCTGTCGATGCTACATATCCTGGTGGATAGATCCTCGATTTTGAGGTTCACACCACCAATGGATGATTGGATTGACTCTCCACGAGGGATCTCTCGATTGCTTCAACACGAGTAATAAGTTCGGCAACTCGATCAGAAAGAGACTCAAAAACAGTTTGGACTTGGACGATCGACCGAGCGACGTCGTCATAGCTGGCCCGTTCATTCAGGGCATCGCCTAAGCTAGTCGTACGATCGAAAATGATCTTGACTCGTTGGCCAAGCCCGGCTACGACATCTCTAGCCCCTTGCGACAGCTGCATTGACGCATTTGCAGCCTGCGTACATGTGTTATTCACATGGACGCATTGGTCGTACTTGGTTCTCCACGAGTTGACCTCAGCGGTTAGTTGCTTGATGCATTGATCACTTCTATCATTCCTGTTCCCGAGGTCTTCGACCTTAGCAACTAGGCGATGAATAATTGCCCTTACGGAAGAGTCCACTTTCCCTCTTTCAAGGGCCGTGACAAGATCAGCAACCTCATTGGGTTGATCTTCACCCATTGGACTATGCCGTGATTCACGGTCCCGAGGAGTGGACAGATCAATCATGACTGGATCAGATGTCGGAGGAGTTCTGAAATCATCTTGCACGGCCGTTGATGGCCGTGGGAACTCACTCCGATTAGGAGATTGGCTCTGGTATGGCGCAGATCTCCTAGCATCACGAACCGCCGAGGGTTGTATCATGCCCAGGCCTTTGGCCACGGACAGTTTAGGAACAACAGGCCTATCAGTTCGCATAGGAACATCAGGTCTCGAGTCAGCAATAACAATGTCATTCAAATCAGTCGCATTGGACACTCTAGATTCTGACATCGATTCAATATCAGTTGCATTACTGATGGTGTGATTGCGACTAGAACTTGATGCCATCATGGACTCGGACTCTATCGGAACATTAGCTCCGTCCATGTCGTCCATGGCGAAAAAGGAAGCCGCGTTGGGCGTAGGGGGAACACTTTGTGCATTCAAGCCACTCGACCTATTAAATTCCTCCTGCGATCCCATCAAGCACGTTAACGAGTGTGTCCGCGTTTAACGGGTCTCTTCCAATGATCGACGCTGGGTCACCTGATCGACCGCGTCCTGAGTCCCGCGTACTGGGGTTTCCCCTGTGGGCAGTTTCCCGATCCATCCCCCTTGCCCTATGCGATCCATTCGAGTTTGACCTTGATCGTTTGCTTGGGGTTGGACTGGGATGCAAATCCAATCTATCTACAATATTACGCTCCCTAGGGCTCTCAAATCCTGAAAGTCCTGGGGGAGGGGACATGTTCCTCATGGTCGGGTTTACCGACGGCCTTGGCCTGACGTTACGGCTGGCCACGTCAGGATTGAGATTCTCAATCGACAAAGGTAGCATGAATTCATCGCTTCCAGCAGCCCGTTTCGGGCTTTGGAATTGCGGGAAAGACGACGGGGCGGGTGGCCCTGGCATCCATGTGGCGAAATCCATACCAAAAATGTTTCCGTCGTTGGGCCATGAGGCTCTCCAGTCTAGCCCACCGGGTTCGGTTGGCAGATGAACGTCAAATGCAACTCCACTGGATGTACCAGGCTCGGGATTACCGAGTACTTGGAAAGCTATGTTACTGGTTGGCACAGGTCTACTGCTGCCTCGGGAGTCACGAACCTCGGACCAATATTCATCAGCTTGGGGAAAGATGAGGATTGAGCTCGAGGTGCAATACCGGGCTCGTCATCATCACGTCCTGAGACGGAATCATCATGGTCAGGACGATTAGTCCCACGACCCTGAGAGCGATTAGCTCTTGAGGCATTAGACGATAGATCATCAGTGCGAGTAGCACTGGATCTCTCTGAAGGCATTGCTTCTGAAAAAGTGTGGTCCGACAAAAAGTCAGGACCGGAAAACATCGGCTGTCCGGGCACTTGGTCGTCATTCACAACGTCCAAGATTCCGGCCTGGCCGAGAACCCACTCACCGGTCACCACATGAGGTCCATCCTCTGCGATTCCCGCCATGAGTCCTACAGTAGCCTATGGAAAACGGCGCCTGCAGGGTTGTTATTAAATGGGGTTCGCGGTGCCAACCAAGGACGAATCCTACGGCTGATAACCTGCGAAAGGGTTTGAAACAGTATTTCGGGAGAGAATAAACAGGCCCTAACCCACCAACAAGAAGAGACAGTTTAAGCCCCCCAGTCCCAAGGGCAAAGTGGTGCCCTCGGCTGGCAAAGAACCACACAGATAACAAACGGGGAACCCTGTTTAACCGCAAAACCCAAACAGGAAAGGGGACCAGCGCAGCCAACCAAGCAAGCGCAGCAAGCAAGCAAGCAAAGCAGTTAACCAAGCGAAAGCGGAGCAGCAGCAACAAAGCAAATCCCAACCCAATCCTGACCCACGCCCAAACACGCCCAGCCGCCGTACTCCGGGGCGTGGGGTTCGGTCACCCACGCACCGGGACGGCGCCGCTGCCAGCGCTTTTGTCGGCAATGGCAAGATTAGTCGCCGGATGGTAAACTTGAGCCAAATGCCGCATTGGGCATAGGCGTGAAATTAAACATGTTGTGATAAAAGTACATGCCCCCAAAAACATAATCAAAACCCGGTATTCAAATGGTCGACCCAAAACCATGTAAAGAATTCAGAAGGCGGCTGCAGCTATTTCTGGCCGGGATTGTCCCTTACTAACCTTCATCTACCCGGGTTTTGATTGTGGCTCATTTGGCTGGCCCAGCCAAATTGTCTGTGTTCCGCAAGATTTGACCATCCATTCCGTCGACCTCTCTAAGATGTTAGGTTCACCGGTGTGAAAGGAAAAAACCCTCTTGGGAAAAACTCTCCAGTCAGGCTCCATTCTTTTTGGGGCCGTTTGCCGTGACGTACATGACCTGATGCACAAAGACATTCGCCCAAGAGCTCCGACCTGCATCATGCTGGCCAGCAGCCGCGTTCGATCTTCTTCCTGCGGCTGAAGCTACAGCAAGCTACAGCAAGCTTCCTACATCGCTTCAAACTTAGACCAAAGCGTTCCGATTGACACCTCCATTTGGGTGTGTGTGTGTGTGTTTTCTTGTTTTTTCATCATTTGCTCTTTTTCGGGGACCCCCCAACAATGGTGGTTGTCCTGTTGGCTTTCCTTTACCACCCAAAAAAGTGGTAGCGTCAAAACATGACGCACCCATTTGCATCACAGATCGGACTGCAACTTTCCTTTGACCTCAAGGTAGTTTCGGACGACTCTCCTTCTGAAAGAAGGAACGCCTAAGAGCTGCAAGCAGAACCAGGAATTGCCTCGGTTGCAAGTCCTGGACGCGAGAGACGTAGCTCGCAAACAGTCACCGGATGTCCCAAAAGTTGTTCAGTTTAGTGGTACGTTCCAGTGACTCTTCCACTAAAAAGGAAGTCCAAAAAATGGAAACTGAGGAAGCCCTGACCAATCCAACACCCAGAGGGTAAGGCCGGCACAGGCAGAACTGAGCGCACTCTGTCCACTGATAGGTGCAGCTCCTGTCAGAAATAGTTTCCAAGAAAACAGTGCACGTGAAGAGCAACGAGTTTGACGTTTGACCTCTTTCATCTATGTCCCCTTTGTGCTTCTCTGCCAAGACGCCTCCCTTTTGTCGCCGCGGAGTTCGGAGTTCGGCTCGGCAGACACTACGCACGAAGCTGCAAGAGCTCGACCCTCGATTGTTCGAGGGTGACGGCATATACTCAGCTTCCCTCTAATTGGTGGTCTGGAGCCCGGTGGTCTGGTGGTTGAAGGGTGGATTCCCATCTACCCTCTACAAGAACCAAGGGTTCAAATCCCAAACCACCAACTGGGGGTACCTGATATACCCCTCGTTCATACCCCTTGGCTTCACCTGGCTACCAACCCAACTGGTATATAATGGGGGAGTGTGAAATCGTCCCTGGGGGGCGTGTTTGAAGGGTGACAAGCCAAACAATCCAAAGGAACCGCTCCCATCAGACCTGTCCGCCAAGAAAAAAAGCTCTTTGAGCGATCATCTCAAATGGCGTCGTCGTCTTCTAGCTCGATCGCAAAGACTGAATCTTCCTCAAAGGGGAGAGATGGTGGAGCCTTACAAACCCGCAGGGTGCCACTATCCATGTCAACCTAGATCTATATAGGTCTCTCCCGCAATTAGGGTCCGATCCGAGTGGACTTTGCTCATCGAAACTGCCAGCAAAAGCCAGTTTCAGCTACCGTAGTTGGGACATGTGCGAACAACATACTGGTTTGTCTCAAAAAGAAAGGTGAGCCCCAAAGGTGCTGGTTTCCTTTTGGCTCACAACAGGGTCCAACAGCAAAGAGACTGCCCATATGCGAGCTCTTTAGAATACATCTGGCATGGAAAGAGAGAAGACTTCCTACAAACCTTGATTTGCCACTATCAGTAAGAAAGCACAAGAACCTATAGTTGTCTGTCTTGTGGTCTTTAGTTGGTACTTGGTTTAGTTCAAGCCGCCTCCTAGCGTAGCCTGATGCTTTGTGTATGCTCATTGTCTGGGCCACCTCCCTCTCTCAGCCACCCCCAAAAAGAGTTCCAAGCCTTGGCTATGACTCTTGGCAGAGGAAGCCCTCCCAAGTGGTTGGTAGACGCAATCCACATCTATGTCGGACGGCCAAAGGAAGGCTTCAACCAGGTTGAACTCCTAAATGTTCCTTTTTTCTATGTCACAGCTTGCGTGGTTGCTCTGCCTTGCACTTCTTCCAAGGTGCCTGCTGGATCTTGGCAGGGGGATCCTCTCTCAGCTCCTACCAGACAACCCCAGTCTCAGGCGACGGCGTGTTGCACTTGCTTGTGCAGATGCTTGTCATGAGACGAATGCCCGCTGAAAGGTTGGGGCTTTGGGGATAAGGAGGTGACCCACACTCGTGGCTTTGATCTGCGGATCTGCGTTGCCTTCGCGAGTGTCGTGCTCGCCGGGTATTCTTTTTTTGTTGCTTCCTACAGGGGGCATGTCTTATGTCTCAGGAGATGTCTTTGGGGTGTATCTGGTGAATTGTGTTTGGTTGATGTTGTTGGTTGGGTGTCTTTGGCGATGGCTTTTCGGGACATGTTGGGTTTTGGGTCTGTCATAGGGGATGTCTTGGGGGATGCCATTGGGGATATCGTTGGACATGCCTTCGAGGATGTTCATTGGTGATGTCTTTGGAGGTCTTCGTTGCTGTCTTTTGCGTGGCCTGTCATTGCTTTCTTTGGGGCCATGTGGCTTTTGTAGTATCATTTCACGGGAGTTTGTCGATGTCTTTGAGTTTGTTCTTCGTGCGTCATCGTTTGACGCGTCTTTACTTTGGGGACGGTGGTGGGGGCTCTTTGCTATTTTTTTTTTGTTTGTGTTGTTTTGGGGGGAGGGGGAGTGTCTTTGAACACGTCTGTGGGGGTGTGTTTGCGAACTTGGTTCGGTGGTCTTTTTGCATGATGGGGTAGTGGTGTGTTGGGGGTTTGTCTTTGGCGGGTGCTGTTGGGGTTGGGGCGGTCTTTTTGGGCATGCCTCAGAAAATTTGTATTAGAGGAGGTCTTTGGTGATATGTTGAGAATATCTTTTAAGGGGGGTCTTGGGGATATGTCTCCGGGAAGTGTCTTTGGACATGTGTGTTTGAGGGGTGGTCGGGTGGTCGTTGGGATCTTTGCTTGAGGTTTGCCATCAGGGCAGGTGTTGGGGGGTTGGGGGGTTCAAAAGTCACAACTGTTCAGCAAGCAAGTAGTGCACAAAGTGTGCTTCTGCAGCCCCAACTCGGCCGTGGCAACTTCAGAACTACAGTTGGACGCAAAGTGCGTAGGAGAATGTCTTTGGGAATGTTGTTGCCTTTGTCTTGGGTGATGTCGTTTGGCATGACTTTGGGAATATCTTCAGAAGGTAATTTGACGGGAAGGGACATCTTCGGGGGATGTCTTTGGGGATGTCTTTGGAAGGTGCGGATGTCTTTGGAAGGTGATTTGCGGGGGCGTCTTCGGGGGATGGCTTTGGGATGTCTCCGGTGTTGGGGTGTCAATGGTGTGTTTATGGGGGTTGTCTTTGATGGATGCTGTTCATCTTGGGCATGTTTTCGGGGCGGTCTTTTTGCGGGTGTCTTCTGGGGAGGTAAAGCTCGTGTTCGGGGATTCGGCAATGCGGCTGGCTACTTGTTGGCAGATTTGTTTTTGATGTCTTGTTGGGGGGGGTGTCTTTGGAAGTGTCCTTCAGGGTGTCTTTGGGAACGCCTTTGGGGATATCTTTGGGAGTGGTTTGGATGTGGAAGATGTCGTCTCCGCTGTTGTTGGGGTTCTGAGGAGGCCTGTGGGTTCCTCGGGAATATAGGGATATCTTTTTGGAGGATCTGTTGAAATACGTCTTTTTGGCGGATTGTTTTTAGGGTTCCTTTCTAGTCATGTCGTTGGGGATGCTTGTGGGAATGCGTTTGCGGCTTCGAATTCGTCCCTCTATCAGGTTTTGGTATTTTTTGGGGGGTACCCCCTTTTGGGTGACTTCAGATGCACTATTTCGAAGCATACCCACTTCTATCTGCCGTTGCACTTGAGAACGCAGCCTAAATGCTCAACGCACAAGGTCGTGCCTCAGGCTCGCCTTTGAAACATGGTGCCCAGGACGCCAAGATGGAAATTAACCTCAGAACATGCGATCGGTCCAACCCAGAGTGTGAGAGGTTATGTGTGCGTTTGTGTGAATCAGATCTGCACATGTCTGACGCATTGAGATCCAATTCAATCTGCACATTTTGCAAAAAAAATGCCAGCGGTGTGCCTAACGGACAAGCCTTCCCAAGGCTTGAGAGACAGCCAGTTCTTCCACCTGGAAGGGGACTTCCCATGTTCCTACAGCCACGTCACAAAATCGAAAGCTCCTCCCAACAAAAAAATAGTGGTCTTACAACTCAAAAGTAGAAAAGCCGCAAATCGGCAGATTGCCGTTTGGACTCAACAACAAGCCCAAGCAGTTTACCCACATCCTTGCCCACAGCTGCCAAAAATGCGTCGCTCGCCGAGGAACTTCAGCCAAGGGGCAGCAAACTCAAAATCAGCACGCAGGAGAGCAGCATGCTTACCTCCAGTTGCCGCTCAAGGCGTCGTCTCTAGACAAGCGAATCCCTGAAATGGGCGATGTCCCTTTTGATCTCCTTGAAACCACAACAAGGGTACACGCGAAAAAACGCCTACCCAGTAGTAGTGGCGAACAGATGAAGCTGGCGAACAGATGCAGCGAGGGTGAAGGCCCAGAGCCAGCGACCGCTTGAGAGCGTCCATCTCGGCATTCTACAAAGGCTTCGGGTCAGAAGCAATGGCAAGAGCTTTCTCGATCAGAACATCTACCCTCCTGTCCGCTAGCATGGAACCCACCAGAGAAATTGCCCATTTTTAATTGGTCTTTCGGGACCCCTCAGCCAGGTTCCATGTTAGTGGACAGGAGGGTAAGTAATGGCTGTTGATATCCGACCCCAATGTAACCTGAGCAGTTCAAAGCACTGGCGGCCTTTGATGGACAAAGCCGGAGTCGGAAAGTAAAGGAATGGCTCGAGAGAACCTTAGAAGTTTGAGAAGTATGGGGGGGGGTCCGTTTCCCCGATTTGGCTCGCCTCGAACCAGCCGCTCATCATCAGCTTGATGCCAATGAAGATGAGCACAAATCCGACCCCATACCTATCAACCACGCTGGCGCAGCACAAATTCCAACAGTTTGCTTGACAACAAGGAACAATGGCAGTGAGTGTGGCATGAGAAAGAAGAAAAAAACTTGGCATCCATGGGCCTGTCAAGGATCTCCCAGGCTCGAAGAAGGAAGCGCATATCACAATAGCGTGCGATGCTTCAATCATCCAACACTTCTGCTGTCCGTGTTGCTTCAGAAAGCGGAAGGAGTGGGTCAGCATGTCGACAACCTCAGCGCCATTTACGTCCGCAGCTGGCAAATGCTTCACAATGCAAAGGGCCTCTGCAAAGATATGCGCTTCCCAATCCCAAATGAGGTTGTTCTACCCACGACGAGGTCGCCATGATCCGCCTATGAGCTTGCCAGAACTTTTGCTGGCGCAAAGTCTCTACGTGTTGATTTGCTGCCAAGACTCTAGATAGAGGCTGCGAAGCACAAACATCGCAAAGGCACTGGATGAGAGGTTCAAGAAAAAGCTAACCTCAGGACACGCATCAAGATCCGGAACTGCCATCCAGGCAGTACGATGAAAAATGTTCCCCTTCACATCAACTGAATGCAGTGAGGACCGCCGACATGCTCCGCCACAAACAATTGGCTGCCCAAAAGCCTCAACCCTCACTTAGCTGCCGACGTCAGGCTCAAAGCCATTCACGGAAGAGACCTTTGCTGTCACCTAGGCCAAGCAGTCAGTCCAGCAGGGATGTCACTGATGGCACTATGTGACTGGGGTGAACTGATCCGTGTCTGCGTCCGCCTTTTGCAAGAGCCATCTTCCACAGGGCGTTTAGCGAACATTGGGCAACACCGCAACTTCTTCTGGGGATCCCGGCGCTGTCCACCGCGAAAATCAC